CCCGCCGGGGCTGGGCCCGGGGCCCGAGCGGCCCCTCCCGCCGCTCCCGGGATCTGTCCGTGGTGCTGAGCGCGGCCCCGCCGGCACCGGCCGCGGGGAGCGCCCCCTTCCCCGCCGGACCGCGGGGGCTGCCCGGGACACGGGGGCACGAGAGGTCCCGGAGCACCGAACCCGGCCGCGGACACGGGGGGACCGGGAGCACCGAACCCGGCCGCACACGGGGGGACCGGGAGCACGGAATCCGGCTGCATACGGGGAGACCGGGAGCACCGAACTGGGTCGCGGACAAGGGGGGACCGGGAGCACCGAATCCGGCGCGGACACGGGCGACACGGGGGGACCGGGAGCACCGAACCCGGTCGCGGACACGGGGGGATCGGGAGCACCGAACCCGGCCGCACACGGGGGAACAGGGAGCACTGAACCCGGCCGCGGACACGGGGGACACGGGTGGACCGGGAGCACCGAATCCGGCTGCATACGGGGGGACCGGGAGCACCGAACCCGGCCGCGGACACCGGGGACCGGGAGCACCGAACCCGGCCGCGGACACGAGGGGACCGGGAGCATCGAACCCGGCCGCCGCGGACACGGGGGGACCGGGAGCACCGAACCCGGTCGTGGACACGGGGGACACGGGGGGACCGGGAGCACCGAATCCGGCCACACACGGGGGGACCGGGAGCACCGAACCCGGCCGCCGCGGACACGGGGTGTCCGGGAGCACCGAACCCGGCGGACACGGGGGGACTGGGAGCACCGAACCCGGCGCGGACACCGGGGACACGGGGGGAACCGGGAGCACCGAATCCGGCCGCGGACACGGGGGGACCAGGAGCACCGAACCCGGTCGCGGACACGGGGGACACGGGGGGACCGGGAGCACCGAATCCGGCCGCGGTCACGGGGGGTCCCGGGGTGGGTGCAGAGCTCGCGGACGGTCGCGCCCCACCGAGCCGCGGGTGCTCCGGTACCGGCACGATCCCCGGCCCTCTCGTCCCCGCCGCTTCCCGGGGGCAGCGCCTCCCCCTGCCCGCGCCCCGCCG